CTTCATGAGGTTGGTACGGGCCCACCTCTGCAGCCTGTCGAGGTCCCTCTGGATGGCATCCCTCCCTTCCAGCGTGTCGACAGCACCACACAGCTTGGTGTCATCCTCCGATGTAGAACAAGGACTGAGCTCTGTCTGGCAGCCTGAGAGCCTTTAAAAGGCGGTACAACACACGGGTGTACGGGGAACTAGGTTTTGTTAACGGGAGGCTTAGAAACAGAGGTCTTTTTTTTTTCTTTAGTGAGAACTATTAGTCCTCTGCCAGTCTGACAAAAGCGTGAGAATTCACTTGATGTCAGGGGGGTCCCAGAAGTCTGAAAGTCAGAAAATCTAGGAGCACTGATAAATGTTCACATACACACACTGTATTATGATTGTACAATATTTATCCATCCTAAGGAAAACAGACAAGCATTACAGTTAGTACTATAGTTGTATATGATTTATTTGATATTGGTCTAACACTTTAAATCTGCATAGATTGTTTTTTTTATAGCCAGCACATCACTGTTTAAAAAAAAAGTTGTCAGAGCAAATCCAGTGGCTTTAGGCATAGTTCTTCAACTTCTGTGTTAAAAGAAATGTAGTTCTTATGTATGTTACCTGAGGACATGTGCAGTGGTAGGCAGCTATCCTTGAATTGATTTAAGATCTTGGTTTTATGATCACTGGTTTATAGTATATTTGTTTTTGTGATTTGCATTCCACACTTTTGTACCTTTTCCTTAATTAAAATACTTCATAAGTAGTATTTCTCTAAAGTTGCAATTTCACTGATAAACTTTTCTGTCTTTTTCTACTGTCATCTGGAGATCAGATTGTTAAATAGGATGTGCATGGAAATAGTACAAGTAATCTTATTTCAGAATAATGTCACAGGCATGCATGCAAAAAAACAGAATTCTAGTTCCTACTCATGTGTTTCTGTAGAAGCTTAAATACTGCTTCATATATTGCCTGAATGAATGGACTGCAAGAAGGCTAAATAGGGGGTCAGTGATTCCTCTAAGGTCGTATAATGAGGCAAAGATTGGAGGACAGTCTAAGTCCTTGTTCTTTTATCTGAGGTGCAAATTTCCTCTTCTGATTTGAACTGCTTATTTCAGCAGATGTGTTGTTTGTTTTTTTTTTTTAATTTTATATGATATTGGCCTAACATTTTCAATTTGTGCAGATAATTTAGCCTCTCCCCCTCCCCCTGTATGGTTGGTTGGACTTGCTTTTCTAAGCATTCTATTAAGCATTGGAAAGTATAAATAATAATAATAATTTTTTTTCAGGTGGCCTCCTCTCCCATTCTTCTCCTTTAGCATGGTAAAATATTTTGAAAGGAGCAATTGTTTGGTGTTATTATAAGACTATAAGTATATTTTCTGCTTTATAACCAACACGTTCTCTTTTCTGGGAAACTTACATGCCAAGTCTTTGTTTTTCTGCAAGTTTGTGCATGTGCTTAACTCATGCAAATCCTTGTACGCCATGGGGCAGTTTACCTCTTTGAGACTGATTCTGCAAAACTTGCACATATATTTAATAAAAGATGAGACAAGAGAACATTATTATTATCTACAGGTACTACCATGCAAAAAAACTTGATTTCTGATCTTTTGCTAGCTTCACTCTCATTCTCCTGCGAGAAAATGACCTTTGGAGCTACAAGACTGTACTGTTTCCCTTCTCTATCACTGTGGTATCATTTAAGAAGGAAAGACGTTGCAGCAGTTCTGTTACCAGCTTAATTATGAGTTTAGCAAGGTCTCTGACACTACCATCTGCTTGTTGATAAAAGTGCCCTCTAACTTCAAATTACTCTTCTTTTGTCACAGCAGCTTATGTGTTTCGTGGTTAATTTTAGCAGCCTTACATTAAGGGTTTAGGGGTTTGAAGCATTTTGGCTTCATTGTGACCCGAACTACTATTCTGAACTTTGGTTTGGATTGTTGAAAACAGGACAGTTTTTAATAGTTGCTTTCAATTACCTTTTTTTTCCCCCCTCCCTGTGCCATTCTCCCCGCCCGCCTCCCTCCACCCCCAAATTCCAGTGTTTGTGGAAAGCTCTCAAGGCAGAGTTCTGTCTGCAGAGCAGTAATGAAACGTGATGCCTGTAGGTTGCCTTAACACTGGTTTAGCAGGAGCTGTTCCAGCTTCTTGACTGTGACTGTCAGCAAAGGTGGCAGTTGGTTGATTTTGGAAGAGTTTGGTGCAGTTGTAACCTCTGTGAGTTCCATTTAGATGCAGTTCTCGAACAACTGTTAGTTGGAAATATCTCCAAGACAATCAGTAATTAACCATTACAGCAAAGTGTCATAGCAAATGGTTAATTCTCTATCTCTTATGTCTTCAGAATATATTTTCTTCAAAATATGCTGGAATCAAACACAATTCTTGAGTGTAGTTCAGGAGTAATTAGATGGGTTTAACTTCCCTTGTACTTAGAAAAGTCGATGTTGTCTTCCAGTCTTAATCTCCATGAATGAAAACTATTCTGATCATAGAATCATAGAATGGTTTGATTTGGAAGGGACCTCAAAGATCATCTGGTTCCAACCCCCCGCCATTAGGGAGTGGTTTGAAGCATACATACAGCACAAGAGTTAAAGGTATTTTTTTTTTTTCATCATCAGTCCTCTGAAGTGCTTGTTTCAACTTTGTTTCCAGAATTAATAATACACATTTTCACATGTACTGTATGTGACTGACCCTCTAGTGAGATGAATATTGTAATCTGAAGCATAACTTTCAATAAAAGGAGTTCAGTTCTGTTTGTTTGATCTTTGCTTCTTTAGTGGGATATTACCTATCCGTCATAGTTTTTTCATTCCATTAAAAGTCTACAGTTCTAATCACATGTTTAAAAGATGTTTAGTTCGAGGGCAGTGAGAGATCTTGCAGACCAAATTTGAGTTCATCTGTGGAAGTACAATACTTTTTCTCTCCCGGAAGTGAATAATCATCTTAAATTCACATGAACTCTTTTTGCATTACTTGAAAACTCACAGATTAATAAATTCAAAGGTGTCAGTTTCCACAGTCACGGAAAGGTAACAAAGATGAAATTCATGTCAGGGAAGCCCAGGTTCTTTTCCTAGGCCCTGAAATACAGGGGGAGGCAAGGACCTGCTAGGGAATTTGTCATGGGAATTATCTTCTGACAGATTTTTGATATCACAGTTCAAAACCTTACATAATGAAATCCAACTACTAGGAAAAAAATAAGGATTACCGGAGCGAGTGATGTTTACCTTGGTTACCCTTCTATGCTCTCAACCTCCTGGCTGCTGTCAAGATCAGTTTTTGATGTGCCACAACCTAGCTTCCATTTCAGATTGTCTTCTTACATGAATAACTCTAGTGCCTGCCTCAGCTGTGACTGTTGCTTTCATAAGCAGTGTCATTGAAACTCGCATGCTGTTTTCCTGTGTCATCTCAGACATCGGTTTTAAGTGGCAGTAGGAAAACTTGACAACATACTGATTAGTTTTTCAATTTGCTGCTCTTTTCCAGAGCAGAAGGTCCCTGGAGTTAAGAACACTTTTTATATTTTTATGTAGGCATGTATCTTCACAGTGTTGAATGGATGCAAGTTTACTGAAGGTGTCTTAATTTCCCCGCTTTAATATTTCAGATTGGCGTTTTCATTAGGCATTTATACATTCATAAGTTGTTTTTTTTTGCTTTACTGAGGTTTTCCCCTTGGATTTCTCCAAGGTCAGACTTTTTTGTGTGTATCACAGTAGATCTTTGCTGCAGCTTGATCTGTGATCCTTGGATAGGCAAGCAGAAAGGCAAATGCAAAGCAGCTAATTTTATGGCTTGAAATAAAGTGAGATTATACTTAAGTATGTATGGTTTAGGAACAGGAATTTAATAAAAAGTTGCAACCTGGTGGCAACTCTTAAAGAAGCAGTTAAAGTCAGGCTAAACGTGATAACTTCCAACACTGTCATGCACCCTGGAGTTTGGAAAGATAGATTATGGATAAATGCATGTCTGTAGTTTTATGCTGTTTTATGTCAAAATGAGTGAATAATGAATTGACACTGTGATTTTTCTATAGTTGTATCTAGAACACTACATAGAGACAGAAGATGATTTTCTGCGTGTGTCACTTAAAGAATTCAGAAGGGAGCTAATAAAAATCAAGTAACAGTTTATGTAATACACAGATTAGGTGATGAAGCCGGTAGACATAAATGAAAACCCATCTTTTGCAAGGTGGATGAGAAGGCTGCAGGACTATGATTAATGTGTTGAATCATATGTGATTTCTTTCCTAACAGTAGTTTCCTTGATGTAAAATCACGAAGATAATTGCCTGATATTCCTCTGCTATGTATTAAAATTTCTGAAGTTTCCTTTTATCAGTCCAGGAAGCTGGATTGATATGGAAACATAGTTGTGTGAATGATTTTGTAATCTATCTCACAAAATTAAGGTTGGAAGGGAAGAGCCATTTTTTTTTTCTGTCTCTTAGGATAGTTTATCACTTGAACAGCTGTCTTCTGTTGACTTACCTCTAAACCCCCTACACGCTTTTTTTGTGGTTTTAAGAGCATATGCCTTTGTTTTGCAGCTACAAGTTTGAGTTTATCACTTACCAGTTACTGGATATCTCCTGGTAGTGTGTTATAGCATATGCCCATGATATTTAAATCCCAGTGTTCAATATTATTTTAGGAGAACAGTGAGTAATTTGTCCCACGACACTCCCTGTCATCGCTCGCACATACTCTCCATCTCTGTCATTTGTTAATGACGAAGTATTTTCTTCCACTCCCAGGATGGTTAGCTGTAGGTACATGTAATCCAAGACAAAAACCCTGCTTCTGAGCAGTCTTACTGGTGTGCTTTGTCCATGGCCCGGAAGACCATGAGCCGCAAACCCTTTTTATCCCTAAATCAGCTTTTTTGTTGTTTTTTTTTTCCCCTCCAATCCTGTGGTAAGCAGTAGGAACTGGCAGTTTTGTAGGTATAATGGTGTAATGGGTCACTGGCTGTCCCTCACATGGGAGCTCTCGGAGCCATCAAGCTCTATGCATTGCGAAGGCACAGGTAGTTCAGAGGTACAGATCACAGGACAGAGGTTAAGTTTATGTGGGAGTGGAATGGTTGAAAACAAGATGAAAAAACTTTGAGAGATCATCTGTCCCGTTCTTCCCTTTCCCTTTGGAAGCAGGTCAAGTATTGCTGACCTGTTCCTGGCATTTTTTCAAACTCATCTTTCAAATTGACTCCTCATCAATGAAAGTTTTACAACTTCTAGACATTTAATTTCTTTCACTACCTTAATTATAGTTATTAAGGTAACTGTATAAATATAGCTTATTTCCTTTTCTTAGTACCCTATGTATATCTAGAGATAGCTATGTGCTTTTCTTTATTCTTTTCTAAAGATTTTACTCAAATTTTTGTGGTAAGAGATTTGGAACTCAACTCTCTTTATGTGATCCCTTTAGCTAGGGATGAGCTAATTACTTTTAATTCACAGCAGTAACTCCATTCCTTCAGGGCAGGAGAATTTGGTGTAATTATTGTCTGCAGATGTAAACAATAACTGCCTAACTAAGGTGTTACTTGCAATAATAAACGTAGTTTGATCTAATTGTTCAGTTTTATTCTTCTCTTTTATAGCAATATTCATTGTATATTTCTTACAACATTTTAAACTCTTTTTGTGCCTCTTAAGACTTCTCTGTGGGTTGTGACCCCTGGTTTATCAAATAGTCCTTTAAATCATCTTCTCTCTCACTTAGTTCGTACCTCTTATGAAATGTCATGTGAAAACTGAAGTCCAGGGCAGACTTTATTAATATGGAATAGAACAGAGTTTATTCTTTTATGCTTAGATTGCCCTTCAAAATTATACTTCAGACTACTTGTGGGTTTTTTGTTTGTGTGTTTGTTTGTTTTTTTCTGTGATAGTGTTATGATAGTGTCTCACTGTTAGTTTGTGATCCAGTTAGATCCCTTAGATCCGTTTCTGCAAAGCTGCTCTTTAGGTGGTCATTCCCCATCTCTTCAGTTATTTGTTTCCCCTGAGTGACATACTTTGCCCTGTTGAACTGCATCTTGTTTGTGTGAGATCGTTTGTCTGGTTTGTCAGAATTATCTTGCCTTCCAGGCTGTGTGCAGCCTCCTTCTGATGTTGTTACCTATGTTCCCGGTCCATGAACTTTATTTTGCCATATACAGGTCCTGAGTGGAAATTCTGGATTGCGCCAAGCTGAGCTTGCACTGTTTCTGAGGAGCTGGTATTGCCTTTTATTTGTTACGTTGTTATCTTACTAAGTGCTTTATTTAAAGAAAATATAATCTGCTTGTAGTTGTTCCAGTATTTTTGAGTGTTTCGAAGTTGTGTTGGCTGACCTATGAATTTCTGGATTTGCCTTTCTTTCCTTTTTAAAAACAAAAATGGTTTCATTTTCCTAGTGTTTTGGAACCTCACCTGCCTTCAGTGAGGCCTCAGAGAAAGCTGTTAGAGGCCATTGTGTTGCTTAGGAAATTTACCTAAAGCATTTAGGGATGAGTTTCCTTAGATCTCACAATGTTGAAAATATGTAACTGTAGTCTATAAGGTGTGTTTTTTCTATTCAAATCTATTTCTTTTGTCATTGCTGCAAATTGTGTTACTTGTTGTTATACTTAACCATTTAAATGGCAGCAGAAGCAAAGAAGGTATGAAACACCTTTCCAGCGTATTACATTATAAAGTTTCTGATCTTGATGATTTAGCAAACCTCCTTTGTAATCTTGTATATTCTTTCCTTTCCTAGTTGTATCTCATTTTATGTCTAGCAATTTTGTCTTGTCTTTTTTTAAAAAAACAGAATTCCTGCTTGAGCACAGCCCTGTCTCTTCTTGGCAGAAGATAATGCCAGCAGAGCAGGTTGTGGCATTGCAGGGCTTCACAGCTGTTGCCTTGCTTAATGCAGTCTCTGACTCCTGTGGATTGCTTACAGAACTCCTGTTTTGGTCTCCTGTTTGCTGGCTTTTAAATTCTTTCTGTCTAGTTCAGCCAACCTCTCTTCAAAGGATGAATCTATTCAGAGGAATGAACTCTGATGGAATTTTTAATGACTTTGCCCCAATTTAAAGAAAAAAAAAAAAGGCCAAACCTCTCTTGCAACGGTTCATCCAAATCTTACCAACTCTCCAGCTGGGCTTTTTAGTGTGTGTATTTGTTAATAATAAATGTTAAAACATGCTACTAAAAGTGTTTATTACTTAAGTTAGAAGTTGGTTTAATGAAAAATGAAGGGGTAACATACCCTAGTGGTTGTATAGGTAAGTAATGTATATACATGTTTGTGTAAACTGTTAAGAATGTGTGTTATTTATGAATATAAGAGGATGCTTTTCAAAACTTCTCTATTAATAATCTGCTTTTCATTTTACAGCATACACAGCTCAGGCAGATGACAAGACAGTTCCTGGTACTCCTACAGATGCTAATGCCAGAGCCTTATTGGTTTGCAATGGACCTTTAGAACATTACGACTTCCTGATTAAGCAAGAAGAGCTGAGGAATGATGAGCAACAAAGAAGAGTTGTGCAGCACCTGCAGAAGTTACATGAGAGCCTTAAAGGCTACAGCATCAGTTCAAAAAATCTTCTCTCAAAGGTGAGGTTTGTAATAATAAAACTATTTTTTTACGTTTAGATTTGCTCATAAGAATGTGCTTAAAATGCATAAATTTCTGTCATTAACAGAGTCTTATGTTTGTAGCTGGGTCATTACAGATAGATCGTTGTTCGTGTTTGGATCTCTGTTCTTTCTTTTTTGGTTTCTAAAATTCCAGTGGCGCTCTAGAAATAACCAAATTAAATATTATTGAAACAATCTATAAGAAAATCTGATATGATTTGGGTTATGTCCACTGTCTGCCTTTCTAGAAATGTCATTTGGCTATAGGAGAGAGGGACCTAGACTAGGTTTTAATTCTCAAGCATTGGTATAACACGTGTTTGGATTACATACACTGAACACTGATGTTTTGCATTCTATCAGATCTTCCATGAATATAAGTGAAATTAGCCAGCAGAGTCTAAATAATTTAGCTTTGCAAAACATAATATAGATCAGACACGACTTTTAAAACAAAAAAAAGTCCATTCTTTCCAGTGTTGTTAGTCTCCAGGTGAGGTAAGGAAAGAAGGAGGAGGTGTGATCTGTGCCCCAGTTGCTTTTTTTGGGGGCATCACAGCTCCTTTTCAAAGTATTAATAAAAATTCAGATTTATCCCTGTTGCATAGCTCCTTAGCAACCATACTGCCTCAGCATTAGTAATGCTAATAGCCGGCTGTTGCAGCTCTGTAACTTTTCCCTGAAGCTGTTGACGCATTGTTTTCCAGAGCCTCTGTGGCAGTGTTTCTTGTATCTTGTTCTCATGCTGTTATTCTCAGGTTATTGCTCTTGTGGCCTTGCACCTGCAAATCTTGATAGCGTTGTTATGTCAGGTTCTTATGGGGAAGCAACTAGACTTGGTGTGAGAATCTCCCCTCAGCTTTCCTTGCCTCTTGTTGTGTAGAAATCCCAGAAAACCAAACATTCGCCCAGCAAAGCAGACAAGACATCTCATTACTTGGTAGATATTAGGTAATCATAGATATGGACAGAAGCTGAACGACCAGTGAATGTGCTTCATTTGCACCTAATTAAAATACTCCAGTCATTGCAAATACTCATAAACATGGTGGGAGGAACAACAAGAATAGAGTTTTTGAGTCTGTTGATAAAGGTATAGTGCTGGGAGAAAAGCATGGCAAAACATTAATTGCCATCATTATCTTCCCGTTCCCTGTCTGTACTGGAGAGGCATCTTCCTGCCCCTAAGAGGAGGATGTCTGGAAGCCATCACTGCTCTTCCCAGCCAGCCACGGAGCGTTTTTCTTTTTCTTTCTCTCTTTCTTTTGCACCACTTTTGTTTTTATTTTTCGTCAGTAACCTGGTTTTGACTAGGACAGAGTTAGTTTTTCTTTTTAGTAACAAGAAGAACTCCAAAGAGTTTACTTCTTTTTAGCAACAAGTACTAACTTGTTTACTTCATAACCGTGGGATTTGTTATGAGAAGAATGTTGATAGCACGCTGATGTTTATAGTTGGTACTGAGACAGCAAGGACCTTTCAGCTTGTCGTGTTCTTGCCAGTGTGCAGGAGCACAACAGACTTGGGGGAAGCACATTGGGGAAAAAGGGTCCACAACTCCCTTTATGGTTTGAATTTAGGTTTAGGATTAAGGGCTAAGTTGGCCAATGAAGTATTCCATATCATCCAATGTCATGCCCAGAATATAGATGAGGGTTGACTAGAAAGAAGGCTTTTGCTCTTCCAGGGGTGCACTCTCTAATACTCTTGAAGTTCTGTCTCTCTCTTGCTCTCTTTTTGGGCTTCTTGCTCATCCGTGATTGTAGTGTCAGGACTTATCTGTTTCGGGATCGTTTGCTGGGACAGGACAGGCCTTGGTCAATTACAGATCAATTACACTGTGCATCACTTGCTTATATATTATTATCATTATACATTTAATATTATGTATTATATAATACATATAACACATATATCATTATAATTATGACTTTTGATTTTATATTTTGATTATTATTAAATTGTTCTTATGTCAACCCATCAGTCTCCTTCCCTTTTTCCCTTTAATTCTCTTCCCCATTCCCCTGGGGTGGGGAGGGTGAGCGAGCAGCTGTGTGGCATTTAGTTGCCAGCTGGGCTAAACCACGACAGTCAGAAGTAACTTTCACGTTTACAGTCAGTGTATGCTGTCAGCTGCAGACCTTGCTAATAAATCTCCAGGTCAGTCTTTCTCAGCATCCCTTATGCAACACACCTCATCTCATAGACCTAAATCATAGAATCATAGAATGGTTAGAGTTGGAAGAGACCTCAAAGATCATCTAGTTCCAACCCCCCTGCCATGGGCAGGGAAACCCTCCACTACACCAGGTTGCCCAAAGCCTCATCCAACCTGGCCTTGAACACTGCCAGGGATGGGGCATCCACAACTTCTCTGGGCAACCTGTTCCAGTGCCTCACCACCCTCTGAGTGAAAAATTTCTTCCTTATATCTAATGTAAATCTACCCTCTTTCAGTTTAAATCCATTGCCCCTTGTCCTATCACTACATGCCCTTGTAAAAAGTCCCTCTCCAGCTTTCCTGTAGGCCCCCTTTAGGTATTGGAAAGCTGCTATAAAATCACCCCAGAGCCTTCTCTTCTCCAGGCTGAACAGCCCCAACTCTCAGCTAAATATCTAACTCTATTGAACTTGTTGCCTAACCATATACTACCCATTACAACTCCAAATCATCCTATTAGCTGGCACAAATACTGTATTTTGTTTGCGTGGCAAGCCTAAATGATGTAGCATGAGATCAGGGGAACTAAAGCCTACAGGGCTCAAGTGTCTCTACATGGCATGCTGTCTTATGCCCTTTAGGCACCAAATGATAAGTTACCACTCTAAAGCTCTTGTGATGTACGTTAGCTTCAAGGCATGAAAAAAGTAGAGAAGAGAACATTGGTATGAGAACAAGTATTATACCTGTAAATGTGCTTGTTTCTGATAGGCAAGTATAGCAGGGTGCAGAGCAGTGGGACTTTGCCTCAGAGCATATTGGACTTGCCTATCAGTGCCTCCATCATCCCTTGTATGATTTAAACTCAGATGTGTAGCTGGAAATCATGTATTTGCTAATTATGTGCTTGACTGGAAATGCCATAAATGCCTTCCTGCCTCCTGATGAAAGGTAGCAGACTAAACACTTAGGAGGGAGCTCTTCTTTTGATTGAGATACAGTGAGAAGAAATAATTCCGTGGAGCAGAAGTCAGGCACTCTGGAAGGGAAAATGCATAAGTGATGAGGTACAAGAAGTGAAGTACTGAGGCAAGACTGTGCCTAGAGGGGAATGAGTGTGTCTATTGGAAATTCTGTTCTGGAAGCAGTTGACCCCATCATCCTTATGGGTCCCTTCCAACTTGAGATGTTCTATGTCTCAGCTTTAAACAGGGGATTTGACCACATGAAGTGGCCTGAAGTCCTGGTACAAAGCCCTGAAGTCCCTGCCAACCTAAATCATTCAGTGATCCTAACTCTGATGTGGGAATTGGAGCCAAACAATTGTTTGGGGTATATTTTTGTTGGCTCTGGCTGGTGGGTCAGCTCATCATGTTACTTACCTTTTTACTTTCAGGATTTCTTTAATTAAAATTATTAAAAAATGAAAACAGTGTAAAAATGGTAGAAATAGTCTGAAAACTGTGTGTTTATGGTATTTTAAAACACTTATTTATACTGTACGTGAACGTGTGCCTCTGGATCCACATTATCTTGATGCCTTTGTAGGCAAACTCTTGAGTCTAAACCAGCCTCCTGATTCAATTTGGGCAAGTACCAAATAAAAAATAAACATTGCTTTTTCAAAAATTGTTACTGTTTATCTTTGTTATCCAAAGCAATATGGTAGTGTGCCTGAATGAGAACTGGTTTTGCGTAAGTGTAAGGAGATCAATCTGGATTCAGCTTGCCAAACTACTTTTATAAGTGTAATCTAGCAGGCCAGAGTTTTGTATCTTGAGGATACTTGATGTGAAAAGTTTTTATTTTTCATCCGTTTAGGCTTCTTTTTAAGTTTTGGTTTTGGGCTCGTAATATTTTCAATTCCTTGTCTCAAAATTATCTTTAGATGCTGTACCCGGACTGTAAAAGAAGTCACTCAAAAGGAAGCCAGTTATCTGGCTTGCTCCTGCGTTATCTTTTGGACATACTACCAGACTTTTATTAATTTTAATTCTTTAGGAAAAAAAATGTTACAATGAATACATTGGTCTTACTGTCAAACCAGAGGATCAACAGGCTAGAACATTTCAATCTTTTCTGGTAAACTGTTTTGGATGTTTGGATCTTCTGTTCTAAAAGCGCTGCCTTTGAGAATAGTTTTGAGAGCTGACTTGTGTTAAGTGCAGTGCCCTCAATCATTATAGCTGTTAGAGCAGGTGTCTTGTAATGGCTTTCTAGATCAAGCATTATGTGGGTTTGTTATTTACTGTTTCTTTGATTGGGAAGCATGAATAGGGAAGAAAGTCTCTCTTGCAGAGAACAAATACTAATCTTATTCTATTTAGGAAATTGTGATGCTACTTTGTCCCTGTATAACAGAGCTAATCGCAGTAAAGCCAGACTGACTGACACTTTCTTAAAAGGAAGAAGTCAAATGCTGTTTTTTAGGTTGAGAATGTGATTTTCACTAGTTCCTTTAAAGCACTTCTCTCTTTCATTTGACATTGCTTCAATTCCATGCTTTAATTTTAAACCAGCTTTTAAAAATTAAAGCATGGCTTGCTGATACCTGGGAACTAATGCCACAAAGCAGCTGTAGAACTACTTGCTATTGGGATAAGTGTTGTTACGGTGTGAGGTTTTTCTTCTAGAGCTTGATATCTCTGTGAAAATCTTAAGATTGATAACCAGGCTGAGCACCATAGTGCTGTGCCATATACCAAAACCCCAGAAAAGGAGGAGAGCAATGAGTTTTGTGTAGATCTGTTAAAGCCTGCTAGCTTGTGTAATTAAATCAAATCATATAATTAAATCAAATCATGTAATTAAATTA